CCTGCTGAATTGAAACAACGCAGGCTCGGCATGTACATACAGAGCACACAGTTCTTATGATTTTACATATCTCACACCTAAACTTACATATTTACACGCATAGCATTCAAATTTTTAAAATCACATAAAAAATAGCACTATTATCACATTTTGACAGTGAAATACACCTTTTAAAGCATAGGTTTAAAGCACAAAATCACTATGTATGCAAATATGAAAGTTTAGGTGTGAGTTATTTAAATACATAAGAATTGTGTTCTGCGAATGTAAATTTTCCTAAATACTAATATGAGGATGTCACTACCATTAGCTTGCTTCTCTTTGATATTCTCATTTGAGATCGGAACTGGAAAACGATTTTGTTTCTCCTGGAAATTGATATCTATTGAATGATATTAGAAACAAAAAATATTCACATAATTACCATTCCGTACCCATCTTCAATCCAAAATTCAAAATAATTTGCTCACCACATGTAGCCTGATAAGCTTCCTTAATCTTCAGAGTTGAGGATGGAATCGCGTTAAGATTTGGTTGATTTCTAGCAGGAATAGGAGAGTCATTAAGCTTTACTTGGTACTTCGGCGAAAGGCCGGTAGCAGGCTGGGTTACTTCTGTTATGGCACCATTTTCTGAATATTCTAAATTTTTATTTACAATTGCAGTAAATAAATAATTTCAAATTTAAATCAGGAACTGAAGCTCTTATGCAATTTCATAAACTAACCTTCCGCAGTTTGATTCCTTTCGTCAGTCGTTATAGATGAGGGTGGTTCAGCATGAATTTTTGGGTGTTCCAGGTTATCCATAGCATCTCCGCAAGTCATTCTGATTGAATGGGAATTAATTCCTGACACAAAAATATTACTATCCAATTAATAATAAAGAACAACTAATGTGCATTACAATGACAAGTTTACTTTTAAACTGCAAATTAATCATGTCATTATCTAGTTAATTTATATTTTCTTTTCAAAATAAAAAATTAAAAACAAATCTGAAAATTAACCAGCACCCAGGAATAACAGTCAGAAATCGAATCATCTATGAAGTATGGTTGCAGTACAGTAACATGGAAATGATACAATACAATAGAAAAACATAAATAAATAAATAAATAAAGTAACAATGCAAGATAAAATACATGAACAGGTGTTGGTATAAAAATAAACATTAATGTAGGCATGTCTGTCTCAACGACATTTTCACTGAAATGTGGTTTGGTATATTTCACCATAGATGCAAAGAACTAGGAGTTAGTCCAGCATCTTTAATAAAATTTCTTTTAAACAAATTCAATTAATCATAAATCAAAATTACACAAAGTTTATTCAAGGAACCATTAAATACTAAAATTACATCAAAACAAAATTCAATGGATTTAGTAAATGGGTTGGTCAAGTGCTGTGCCCCCATCCCTCCCTTACAGCTTGCTTATTAGCCATTCTTCTAGCATGCATATAGAGCTTGATCCCTCCTATTTTTCAAATACAGATTTACATAGTATATTTCATACATGAGTGTTGTATAAATGTGGGTGTGAAAAAGACACTGGATCCGAATAAATTCATCTCTGCAAAACATAAATACCACAGAATTATTATTTATTTACATATTTAACATCTACACGTTCATTTTTTACATTTATGGCATTTAGTTTTGCATGAAAAGACGTGTTCTACCTTTTAAAAGTTATTAACAGTGGCATTTGATGTGATATGAAAGTTTTGAGCGCTATAAATATAAAAATTAAAGTTTAGGCGTTAGATGTGTAAACACATAAGAATTGTGTAGTATGTATAAATGCCCCCAAGAATAATAAATAACAAAGTAAAAGGACTAACGTAGTGAATCAGACAAAAAAATTAAGTGTTTATTTGGTTGCTTTTAAGCTAAAGAGTACGGATATAGATTGATGAACATCCCAAACATTTTAGTCTCTATAGAACAAAAATGAGAGTACGTACCAATAAGTTTGCAGTTGTTATTCCTAAAATTCATCTATGGCGTCGACATCAAACCTTTGTAATAATTTTTATAAATAAAACACAACTAAGATAGACATGTTGATATCATTAATTTTCTCTTTATGAACTCATTAATTTTCTAAATTTAATAGACTAAATAAAAATTTTAAACTTCACATTTCTATTAATTTAGTGTTGCATCTACTAATTACACAACCTTTGACTCTAAGCAAAATCCTAAAAAAAATTTTTAGAGATGTAAAAGAGAACTTAGAATTTATAAATGAAATGCATAACTAAAATTACCTTAACACAAACGGCTTGCCCCAACACTCAACTTTTCACATGAACTAGCTACGCACAGCGACGTTGTTATTTCCTGCGCATGATTTCATGCACTACCTCTGCTCTAGCTCTTCCTCGTTATTCTTCGGATTGCAACACTTATAATCAACTCATACTCGTTGTCACTGGTCTCTACTCTTAACGTCAGTCATCCTCCTCACTCGCAATTGAGCCTTCCTGATGTCGAGCCGCTCCATGATGCAACGCACTTCGATCGAAACAAGGGTAAATGCACATGCTCGACTACCTGTCCTTCGCCAACTGTTGATGATGCCTCCTATCGATTGAAAGCATACTCCCACAAAATTACTACCCCATCGACACTATCCTCTAAAATTGGCGTTGGTAACGTCTTCCCAGCACACCTCCAATCCCTCGATGAAAAGGTTCAAAATCCTCGCCCGCTTTCTCTCCTCTCAATCTCATCTCAGTCTGCTTCTCAGAATTTTGAAGTCGTTCTGCTTCAAAGGGTGGTTTTGTATCCGCTTTATAAGGTTGAAACGTTTGTTAATCTACATCTCTTTTGTGTCATATGCGTTCTCTTATTGTTTTTCGAGGAGACGAAAATGCTTAACTACGAGGTGTTACAATAAGAGCGATAAATTTAAAATAAAATTTGCTCAAAAAAGTTTGATCCTCTCCAAGAAAATGATTAGAATTGGCAAGATTTAAGCAATAAAATTTAATAATTTAAAAATCCCAACGATGCCTGTTTTAATAAAAAAAATTCAATTAGAGTGAAACTATGTAATCAAAATGCCCTCAAATTTAAAGAAAATTATTTTGAGCTTAAATCCTAATAAGAAATAAGAAATTCAGAATTTAATAGAATTTAAAAATTTTCAAGCAAATTTAACTGTCCGAGGTTTAAAGAAACAATTTATCCATCTTGTGCACTTATTTGATGAGGTTAAGATAATTATAGCTCAAAAAAAGTTAATATCATATAAGGTATATCTTTATAGTCGCTCTAAAAAAATGTTACATGTCTACTAACAGGAGATTTTGTCGCCAAATGACAAAAAATATATGGTTGTGATTGGGGTCTTCTGATTGGTTGATTTGCTGCAAAATTAAACTATTGAAGAGTGATCACAACAAAAGCACATAAGTTCCTCAATGGCCTCCCTTAAGTGGTGAACTCTAAGAAGCATTGGATAGAGCATAAAGCCTTTTGTTAGCAAAAATTAACTTCAATTATTCTCAAATAAACATTTACCTAGTTCTATAAGATCTCATTGGATAATGCAACTCATGATTGCCGATAAAGATCCTTTGATCATTGAAACATATATCTCTGGGTAAGTAGACCAGTGATCCACACAACCTAGGATGATTGAACTATAAGATTTTAATTAAGTTCCTCATTATTTTCCCACCATCCTTTTCTAAGCTAAATGTGGTTAATTTTTCTATCTTAAATCAAGTTTGTCACAACTATACACTAAGAATTTAGCCCAAACAATTAGCTTTAACCAAAAGTATCCGTCATTATCAGTATGAATAAGTAACCATAAATATTCATGAATATGAAAGATCCAAAACCATATTATGAATTCCTTGTAAAATGAGTGCAAAATTTATTGGCAGTGTCTTATTTAAATTTAATTTGTTTCTGAAAAAATTGATCAGGAACAACAAACTCTCTCAAGAGACATGTTGAGCCGAATTGATTAAAACTGATTTGCATTTAGAGTCAAACAATTGTTTTCAATTTCAACTCTCTATTCAACCTAACTCACTCAAAAGTCACTATGAATGCTAAATCTCACTATCTCAAAGAAATAAAAGTTCATCAAAGAACGTAAGAATAGAAGTCTAACTTACGTCCTTCAACATGATTCAAGGCAACTTTTGCAGCATTCATCTCTGCCTGCTTTTTGGTCCGCCCAACATCTCCTACAAAGCTTTTTCCATGTATTTCGACAGTGCTTCTGAAAATACGCATATGGGATTCATCCTCAGACACTGTATTATATTTTGGCAAACATAGACCTTTCTTCTGAGCTAGTTGTTGCAAGAGGTTCTTGTAAAAATTTGGTTCATCCTGAAGGTAACAATCAGATAAAAAAATGAAATTAATAACTCGTCACATTCAGTACGTCTTGTTGATCAGAAATCACATGTAACTCGCCTGCTGATTCTCTTCAAGAGGCAAAGACATTAAAGCAACCCTTGCAGCAGAATGTTCAGCTTCTCTTAACGATCTGAAGTACTGTGTACTCTCAAATGTTTGTCCATCAACTGTAACCCTTGCCTTAAACCTATGTGCGTGAGCTGAACCGTCGCTGAGACAAACATATTTTGGCGCACCAATATTTCTCTTTTGCACATACTGTTGTAGCTGACTCTTGTAAAAAATTTGAGCCTCTACAAAAAATACAAAATAAAAAATCAATTATTAACACAAAATTAAATGAAAAGAAGTTTAAATTGAAAAGAAATATAGAAAATACAATTTTTAAATGAATGCAAGACCAAAATCTGGAGCTCCTTGTTTTCATGATAAATAAAGATGAGTTTTCGTTCTAAGAAGTTGAAAAACGACACCGCTTCCTAAAACTAGTAGGAGAAGATTTCAATCCATAGAAAAATGAAAAATACAGAGGAAGAAACATGTGTTAACATACTTAGATACTACCATTTGTGCCAGTTGTCAGTTTGTCACTATGCACTTCAAAATCTACCCTGTAAGTTTTATACTCCAATATGTATAATGAATGTCAATTTATTCTTCGGAAATAATAATGTGAGACACTTCTATTAGAAATGCTAAGTCAACCAAAATGAAAACAATTGCAGTCATATGGTAATAAAAGAAACACTACCTAACATTGTAAGAAATATGACTTGCTGCATGCAACATTACCTTCTAAATAATAATTGTGGCTTAGGAAAGTGCAGAGAAGAATAAATAAATAAATAAATAAATAAATAAATAAGTAAATAAACTTAAGAGGCTCAATCAGTTGCTTGAAGTCAAAAATATCTTTTGAAACAATGAACTTTATTGAATCCATCATTTGATTGGATAAAATTAGAAGCCTATAATGATTTAAAACTTCACAAACCACAACAAAACTCTGCAAATGTAATGATTTAACTTTAACACATAAAATGAATGAAAATGAAATCATAGTTTTTAACAATTAAATGATTCCTTAATGCAACTCTTCTTCTTTTTAAAGAACCTGCACCGCACAAAAATCATGCTTCAGATTGTATGGCATAGAACTATAATATGTAACCAAAGTATTTTAGGGAGCTGTGTAAGCACTCAAATGCATTCTCAATTTGTTTTTCCATCCAACACGCCGCACGAGTGCAAAATTTAGCCAAACTAGATGGTGAAAGGTACAAAGACCTGACATCACCCAAGGTAACTTTAGCACGGAGAAGCCGGAGTTTCAACAAATCATCATATCCAATCCTTGAGTCTTTAAATAAGAGAAACTAGTGCTTCAAGCACCACTACTCCTACAATCCCTGAAGAGGCCTAGAAGGCTTTTGAAGAAGACTTGATACTATAAAGAATTAGAGTCACCTATGATGCTAATTACACATGATATTTTAGCATTCTAAGCATGTTGACCAAGACTACATCAAGATTTGGAACAATCAACCCACTTAATGATCCTATTTATTCTCATGCATTATTAGGAAGATGGAAAATTAAATCGTTGGCACTTAAAAAAAATTTTGGGCCACATAAAATGCTTGCTCTCACTTGTTCACCTTTTCAGGAAAATATAATTAATCTGACTAAAAGCTCTCAAAGTTTTTCTTTGTTGACATTATTATGGAAACTGTATATTAGGAAACTTGATGTTAGGTAACTTAATTAGAGGAAATCTAATTAGAAGAACTTTTTGATATTGGAGTTATTCCTTAACTTGGAGAGTTGGCTGCTCAGTCTGCTTCCCTCTGCTTTCTCTGCTTATGTCCGTTGTTGTGTTCAACTTCTTTTGGCTTTGGTAGTTCAATTTTTTTCTCCTTTTTTTATTGAGCAGTGCTTGATAAGATTAATGTCTAAACTGAAAATGAAACTTAGGAACTCGTTGAACAACAATTTGGTAAGAATGTTGTGGGTTGTAAATGATTCTTTGCAGTTAAGTTTCATTCTAATGGATTTGTAGCTTGTCTCAAACCTTGGTTGGTTGCTAAGGGCTATGCTCAAACTTATGGAATTGACTACTTGGACTCATTCTCTCCGGTAGTTAAGTTGACTTCAGTTACCTATTTCTTTCCTTGGTTGCAATAAATAATTGGCCCCTGCTCCAACTGGATATGAAGAATGTTTTTCGAGCTTATCTTTTAGAAGAGGTATACATGGAGCAACCTCCTATGTTTGTTGCTCTGGAGGAGTATGGTAAAGTATGTCGTTTGAAGCACTCTTACTGAACGAATTAACAAGTAGTATTATCAAGTTTTTAATTAAATGAGCCTTATAGAGCAAATTAGCAAGGTTTTATTTTTGCTTTAAAACGCACATTTTACTAAAAAAAGTGTTAATATGTTGTATGTGAAACTATTAATATATAAATACATTTATGAACCATTATAAAATAAAAAGTAAAACTTAAATACAACAACAACAAACCTTTATCCTACTAAGTGAGTTGGCTACATAAATCTTTTTTCTCCATTGTGTCTTCATTTAATTCAAATAGATTAAGATCATTTTTTACATAATATGTCCAAGTCTTTTTTAAGTCTATTTCTGTGTTTCTTAACATTAGTCAAATTTAAAACATCTACTCTTCTAACTGGAACGTCAGATGATCGACGTTTAATGTGACCAAACCATCTAAGACGACTCTCTCTAATCTTGTCAACTTACGAATAAATTCATTTCGCATTTTGCCTCTAAGTGTCGAGTCACTCATCCACCTAAGCATTCTCATCTCAGCACCACTTAATATAAAATAGAAAAAATGTGGTACAATACCTATCTTGAAGGCAAACATTAAGAAAGAATATTTTTTTAAATTAAAAATTTCAATAAAATATTTTGGTTTTAATTACAATTTGCTATAAAACCTATTCTTTTTTTGTTCACCCGCATTACCTACAAAAAGAGGTATTTACATACATACCACTCAATTCTTATGCATTTACATATCTAACATCTAAATATAATAATAATTAAAGTTTAAGTGCTGGATATGTAAATACATAGCAATTGAGAGGTATGATCAGCTAAGACGAAGTCCAGGCCAAATTTCAAGAAGGACCGCAACGTTTGAAGTGCACTTCAAAATCTAGGCTGAAGTTGAAGACAACACTCAGCTCCCTTGTGCTCCTTGAACTCTCGAACACGACTATCTGCTCCTTGCACTACTTCAAACATCAAACCAAAGCTTTTATATACTCTCATTAAACCATGAATGGACCAATTGGTTACAACTCTTTGAAGCACACTGCAATGAAGCGAAGTGGGTGTCAAGCGCTTCACTTCACTTTGCATGTGAAACATGCTTTTAGGAGCATTAATGAATAGTACTATCAAACTATTTGTTTTATAACCAAATGAGCTATGTTGTGAACTTGTAGAAACGAACAAACAAGCTTTAAAAAAAATGATTAGCTAAATGAAAAATGAAAAACAAAACATACAACATGCATAAAGAAGTATTTTGTGTTCATGAACAAACAAAATTTAATTAAAAAAAATAAAACTTTCACAATTTTTTAAATACACCAAACAAAAAGAGAATTACTTTATTATTTACAAGAAAGATGGTTACCTAATACAATGAGTTTCATTTGATAGTATCTTTTGTCTTCTTTATAAGCCTTCTTTGGGATCAATATACTTTTTTCAGTTTGAACTATAAGTTGCATTTGATTAATAAAAATTGAAGATAATGTCTTTAGATAAAATAGAAGTTAAAAAATAAAAAATATAAATATAAATAGTCCAATTGAAAAGATTTTGAAACTTAGCTTTGAATAAGTAAAGCTCGCTAACCCTGATAAGAAATTGAGGTGTTTATTTTCAAGAAAAAGAAATTCATTCTTATACCCCTATTCTAAGAACCAATTAACTTTAATAATCTAACTAAACCCAATGCAAAATATGCAAATATTAAAAGGCAGCATATTCCTCAAATCACAGGCAACATAAACCCCCTATTTTAGAAATATTCAATTTTTTAATTCTCCAAAAGTTCACTTCTTTTCCTTAATAACATTCTATACCTCCTCTCTCTATCACAATCTCCTTATCAATGTAGAGTCTACTTTTAAACTCTCCTAAAATTTTTACAACAAACTTTTTGATGGAAATAATCATCTTATCCCACATCAAAATTGGCACAACTAAACCTATTCAATTTGCCTCCCTTAACTTATCCTAAATGATTAGCAATTTCTCACCTTTTAAACCCTACAACATAATTCTAGAACGATAATTTCTTTTTTATTTTATTTATATTCATAAGATATGCATCCATAACTATTACTCTATACTATGTGGTCAAATCATTGCAACAATATTTTTATTTCACTCTAAATAAGAAAATATGTATTTGTAATTTAATGGATCAATTTTTGTAAGTAACTAATGGTAAATTTGGCTATATCTTTATTTTTTATTTTTATTTACAAAAATAAACACTTAATAAAAAATCACATTTAGTCAGCTCTTTCAACATTTTGATTTTGGAAACAAATTAGTGTTTCCCCCAAAAATTTTAGAATCAAGAGCGAATGCACATCCAAAAATATTTTTGCTTTAAGTATAAATTAAAAAAAGATAGAAACAAAGAAAAAGAAAATAAAAAAAATAGAAAATATAGCTAAAAATGCCATAAGTGTTATTCACTTTCTTAAAATGACTTTACTATAGCAAGATCATAAGCTACTGTGAAATCAAGTATAGTTTGTCCGATTGTATTTTTATTTAAATCTCCCCATACCTCATTTTAGAACCTATATATATCCATTTAAATCAATTCCAATAAAAATCCTTTCATCCTTAGGTAAATGTTGTAGCAGCTAAACCATCTCTTTCGAAGACTATTTGTTAAACCATCTTCTAATTCAACTAATCACATAAATAATTATCATAATGGAAATAACCCTATTCACCTTAATAATAGCTTACATTTTTTTTAATTATAAATAAAAAAATAAAAGAATAAAGAAATTAAATTAAAAACAAAACACAGCCAAACAACACTTCATATTTCATAAAATATATCTTCATTGTTATATAATCATAGGCTATTGCGAAATCAGGTATAGCTTGTCCTTTTGCATTTCTATCTCATATTTTATAACCACCAAGCATCCTCTCATAACTCATTCTACTTGAACCTCTATGCTCATTTGAATCACTTTCAATAAAAATTCTTTCTACTTTAAGCATAAATTATGGTAGTTTATCATCTCTTCCCAAATTTAATTTTTAAACTATCCTCTGATCAAATTTGAGGGTAACTAACTGAGCGGTATTGTCAATCTTTTCAAGAAAAATTAACTTATAACCTTCCCCATTGCCAAACCTATTTACCTTCATAATACCTTGCATATTTCTAATTTAAATAAAAATTAAAAAAATACAAAACTAAGAAAATAGAAAATAAAACAGAAAACATCCAAACATGGTATATGTGTTTTTCAGATTTCTTAAAATATCTTCACTATTGCAAGATCATATGCTACTACGAAATAAAGTATAACCTATCCTATTACATTGCTATCTCATATTTCATAACTGCCATAAATCCTCCCGATGCTCATCCAATTTAACACGTGTACTCATTTAAATCACGTCCAACCAAAGTTCTTTCTGTTACCATAATTTATTTTAGTAGTTCATCCATCTCATCCCAAATTTATTTTTAAACTATCTTCTCATTGAAATTAAAGACTAAAAGCAAATATCACATTCATAATTTCATCGCAGATTATTATCTTGAAAGTCATTACCCTATTACCAACCATATTTAGCTTAATAATTTTATCTTTCATTTTTTTTATATGTTACTATCACAACCTCATTACTATTAATAACCTTTCCAACATAACAATAATTCATAAACTTTCTTAATGACATTAAATTTTTCTCCTTTCCATTTAATTTCTAGTATAAATAAATAAATCTTCTTTTAAAAATTGTGTTCGTCAATTATCCAATGGATTGCTTGAACCTTATCTTATATTGTTAGGGCTTGTCCATTGATCTTGGGGGTTCAGTGATGACTTCAAGGAACAATTCCCTGGAAAAAAATTATAAGAGGTGCTACTTATGGCTTACAAAGAAACTTGTTTAAGAGAGAAGAAAACCAATAAAACGAGGAGGTTTAAGAATAATACAAATTTAGAGAAAGGACATCCAAATTTATCAAAATCATTGACCAGGGTTGCTGAATCAAACTATCCATAATTGATGAAACAAAACAATTTCTGGGCTACACTATGATGCACCCAACTTCAGAATTAGTGTCCTAACAAAAACAAAATCACATAATATCATAAAACAGAATCATTACGTTTATTTTACCATTTCCCGTTAATATTTAAAGCAATTGAATGAACAAACAATGATGTCAAAACCTCTTATCCAACAAATTCTCTAAATTTCACTCGCTAAATCCATCAAGAAAATCGGCACTTAAGAGAAACCACGCTACTAACCCAAACAGAACATTGAAACCATGATTCAAATTTCCTAGCTGGAACATGAAAGCAGTGAGAATGCCATGGCACAAGAGAGTAAAACAGAGAAACTTTACTTACACCGGAAGCAATAGCAGGTCCAAAGGGGACAACACGCTAAGTTTCTTAAAGCGAAAAAAGTAGAGTGGAACTCACTGGCGGCCGGAGAAGACTCATCGCCTGCTGGATGGTCGGGAGCAGAGGAGGCGGAGGAAATGGCAGAGAGGCTGTCTAGGGCTACCTCAGCGGCCTTGTTCTGAGCCTCTTTAAGAGATTTGAAGAGGTTCGGGGAGTCGAAGGTCTGGCCGCTGACAAGGACGGAGGCACCGAACTCGGGGTTGTGGTCGGGACCCTCGCGGCTAGCTGTGTAAGTTGGCAGAGGCCATGATCGCTTCTGGCAAAGCTCCTGCAGCCTGTTTTTGTGCATTCTCGAATCCAATAACGCGGCCGGAGCAGGATCGAAGAGGCGACAGATATAGGAAGAGACGACGGGCGAACTTCTGTGCGGTTTTGAGGCATTTTTACATTCATATCCACCATTTTTATGTATTTACATCTTTGAGAACTTATTATTATTATTATTATTACTATCTAACACCAGAATTTTTATATTTAGTCATTTAATATCACTTAAAAAGATAGCACTATTAATATTTTTTCAAATGTGAAATACCCATTTATGTGGATATATGTTTATGATAAAAAATAGATATAAATAATAAATATTAGGATTTGAAATTTAAATACATAAAATTGTATGGCATGTCTGTAAATTTTTAAAATAATAACAATGATTTGCTTGATTTAACATGATATAAAGAAAAATTTCAAAATGCTCAAAAATCTCAAAACTAGCCGCTCTCTTAAATTTAGTCGTGTAATTTTACAAAATTAAGCTCAAATGATCGCTTGATAAAAAAACGATGACAAATAAGACTAAAAAATTGAACTCACATGATCACTCGCAAAAAAATAACAAATATTTCGAACATTTTAGGGTGTCGGGTTCTGTATAGTTCATGGGTTAATACAACTCAGAGAAGATATGTGTTCTCAGAGGGAATCTTAGAAAATATATTAAATTCTTATCTTCGATAAACCAGAGAAGTCAGGCTCGTCGAAGATTCCCTGAGTTACAAGATTTCATAAGGAGAGAGAGAGAGGGAAAGAGAGAGAGAGAGGAAGTATCACTTACACGCAAGAGAGAGAGAGGGGGATTGAGAGCCCCCTTCCTCTCCATTTCCCTTTTGTTTTAAATACAAGAGAGAAAACTAATAAAAAAAATTAATTTGACACATCTCGTATTATACAAAGTCTTTCCCTGGTGTCTTGATAAAAATCTCATGATGTGAGTGTCACGTCTTGCCGGTATGATGCACATCTCTGGTACCTCGGCGAACAAATCGAGTCCCAAGTGTTGGGGGCTTCTTCAATAATGGACTGATAGATATCTTTGTTAGTCATGGATGCCTTCTCTGATTGCTGCTCTCGCATAATTGAGTTAGGTTGTCATTTTAAGGGTAATGAATACAATCAGATTGACAGTTGAACTCAATTTAATTACTTCGACAGGTGGGCTCGATTCAGCCATGTCGACAAGTGGGTCTGATTCAACCACTTTAGCAAGTGAACTTGGTTTAATAAGCGAAAAAATTTGTATGCTCATATTTGTGTATGGAGAGGTATAAATGCAAAAAGTAAAATTTAGATGTTAGATATATAAATACATAAGAATTGGGCGGTATGCGTGTAAAAACTCAATTTTGTTTTAATGTAGAGCTAATGACTATAAATATTGTAAATGATACGAGCAAACCGTATTGGGTGGTTCAAAATGCATGAATAGAAATGAGTTTGTTATCACACTAGTGCTATTGAACTTGGGTATACTTTTTAGAGAGGAATGTGGTTGTGTGCAATTTTAAGTTGATTGGAGACCAAATTGAAAATTTGTAACTTCATGATTGTTATGTTGGAGCATGCAAATATAATTTAGAAGGTCAAAAACAAAATTATTATTTTTTGCGATTTTTATCTTTTGTATGTTATTATTAATTATGTTTTGGCTCTTAGAGTAATTCTATCAACAAATGTATGAAGGTTTGGCAAATTACATTAATTTGGAGTTTTAAGAAATTGGAACTCATGTCCTCATGTTTCTTCAGTAGAAATTACAATCAATAAATTTAAAAAAAAATTATTAAATTTAAGAATCATTTAAAAGGGAAATTTAAATTTAAATTAATAAAACTCATTGTAATGCATCCAAATAGCACGCCATTGACGTTGTTCAATCTACTAAACGCCTGATCACGATCATATAGGCCCATTTTCAAGGAAAAATAATCCATCTGGACGTCCGCACCAACCACCGGCTGTCACGTCGCCAACCGATGACGTGTATAGCGCGACATGGCGGCTGTTGGTTGACCGTCCGGACGGAATATTTTTTCCATTTTTTAAATTATATAATTATGCAATAAAATGAGCAGCTAAATAATACAGTCAGCTCATAATCTAACAAACCAAATAAAAACATAAGAAAACCAAAATTAAATAATTTCACAAAATCTTATGACACTTACGCTATGTTAGGAAGCTACAATTGCTTTAAGAAGCATTTGTGAAAATGCTAAATGCTAAATGAAAACAAAAAGCAATGGTGGCTATTGTAAATAAATTAAAAAAAAAGTAAGATTGTAATTTTCTAACAACCACAACAGGTACCTACTTCTAGCGGGGAAACCAAGATTTCAACTGCATTTTTTTGAGAACACAAATAAAACGCAGTTTTGCCACTAGAAAAAACTTTTGTGCGACACCACAGGCCACTGCAACACTACCGCACTACATCCCCAAATGCACTCTTAATCATCACAACATTAGAGGACAAAAGTAGTCACAAAAATTCTTTCAAAACCTCATCTCCATCAAGTACTTGTACTTCATCATCTCCCACCTTGAACTATTCAATGGCTGCTCTAACATATGTAATAAAATAAACAGTAAACTACATAGATAAAAAATTGAGAATAAAATAAAATTAAAAACAGAATACCAAACCTTCAAATTACTAGAGGCTTGACAATGGCCGATTCTGGAACCAATGATCTCAATCTGAGTCCTGTTCCATATGAATCATATCAATCGGTCATGAGATAATAGAGTAGTCTCATTATAAAGAATAATTAATAATAGAGGCATTTACATAAATAACTCCCAATTCCTATGTAAACACATCTAACAACTAAATTTTAATGTTTATATGCATGCTGCCTTACTTATCTTACCTATGCATGAAAAGATGCATTTTCACTTTTCAAAAGTTAAAATAATGATGCTTTCATGTGATATGAAAGATTTGAGTAGTAATAATGTAAAAAAAGTAAAGTTTAGATGTTAAATACATAAATACATAGGAACTAGGCGGTATGTATGTAAATGCACCTTAATACTATTGCAAAAAATACTATACTAGATTCACCCAAATCATGATGCAAGAAGATAATAAAGCTTTAAAATATTTTGCATTCAAAACTAAGAATATATTAGTTTGCACGACCATTTGGAGACGAAGAACTTCTAAATGCAACAAGAACACGGCCCATATTGCTAAAAGCCCCAATTAAAATTCAACGGCTAAAATATCTTCAACCGTTTGTCAGAGAATTAAAAATCTCGATGCATTAATATTCCACCATGCCAAAATAATAGAATCTTCATCTAAATATCTCTCGAAATCCATTTTCTTGACCAACACATATCTTCCATAATTGTGGCTTTTGAACTTATTCCCCAATGTCTTTCACTTGGCCCTTTACATGAACATTGATTCAAACTCAAGTGGGCTCTAATCCAGAGTTATCCCAATTATCATTATCTTATGATAATACAACATGTGATATGTTGAGCTCAAACAATGCCAAAACTACACCATCATAACCATAATGAATATCCATAACAACAAACTCAGCATATCATAACTTAAAAGGCAAGTATCAAGGACAAAAAATAAAATAAAATAAAGAATTCATCTTTTCAAAATTACCTTAAATTTATCAATTTTTGACTCCATCATTTTAGCCATATTTATCAAAACTGAAGAGAACTGAAACAATAAAATTTTCATAAATTCATGGTAAGATGTATTCTATGTAACATACAACGAGCAAAAACAAATAAATAAATATCAAGTTAAAGAAACTGGAAGCAAATAGACTTCCAAGTACCTTGAAAAATAATAATTTTACTGTTGGACATATTCACTGTGATCCGAGAAGTGTACCTGCAATCAAAGACAAAAATCCAAATAAACTTGGCCCATTCTGATAAAAATGATCCAAATAAATAAACCAGCCCTAAACTCGGAACAATACAGACAAATAAAAGGACAAATTCAGCTAAGAACCCTACTAATGGTCATAAATGAGCACAAGCAGAAGCAATGTCATCAATGATGGGGCATTTACATACATACCACACAATTCTTATGTATTTACATGTCTAACACCAAAACATTCATTTTTACATGCATGCCACTCAAATCTTTAGCATCAAATCATCATCCCTATCTTTTATAAATACATAAGAATGAAGTGGTATCTAAGTAAATTTCCCTAAAAACTTATGCAGAATGTAGGTCGCCAACTGGTTAAGAGGCAACATTTATTTATGATGAAGCCAAAGCTCTAACTTGAAGCACATCAACGAGTGACAAAAAAACTCACACTAGGACAAAAGTACTACAAAATTGAAAAAGATTTCTGTCCAACAGAAAGATTGAACCTAAAACCTAGATAAAATAGCAGTTTTCATCTAGCAATACTAAAGGAATTTATCAACAGTAACAAATGGGTCCCAAATTATAAAATAATAATGAAACACCTACACTCAACAAATAAATGCAAATATTTTAGTTCTTGCCTTGCTGGATTGTAATGAAAATAAAAAAAAAAAGAAGCGATAGAGCATGAATTGCATATTATCCAGCTGCACATGATTCTAAAATCATTTATGTCAAATCCACATCCAATCTTAGTAGTGAAATCCTAATCTTCGATGAAATAAATATGAATACTTGATTTCTCGAGGATTCCAATCCATTTTCAGACGTATATGAATGAAAAAGAATAACGATTGCAAATATTTCATAGTCATAGTGGCATACATGTAATATAATTAACTCAATGAGATAATGAGGGTACATGTTTTTTTAAATCCATGAGTTTGTGCAAGTAGGTCACTTTTTCTATGTTTGTATGAATATATGCATGTGTTTGTGCACAAGAATCGATGGAAGTGTTTTATGGGTGGGTGCATATATCTATGTGGGAATTTGATTTTATCTACAATCTTTTAAACATTCCAAACAGGGCTACAGATGAACCAAGTATTCGACAAGCTGCTCGTGGCTCAACTTGATTAAAGCTTGTTCAAGATCGTTTGATTAATTGATCGAACAGGCTTGAAAACTTTCATAGTACTCAATTAATAAATGAGCAAGCTTAAACAAATTGTTTGGTTCATTTATATTCACGAACAGTATTATTTAAAGCTCATGAGCAAGCTAGATTATAGCCTATCAGGAACAATAGTGTTTAAATGTTTATTTTTAAGATCAACAAGCATTAGTTGATATTATTCATTTATTTTTCAAAACAAAATGCTTGTATAAAACTAAAATAAATAGCAATTAAAGCTCAATTAAGGCTTCATTATGGCTCATTTATTTCGTTAAATGAGTTGCTCGTTAATAAACTTGATAATTCCTATATGAACTAAGCTTGAATCAAGCTCGAGCCTTGCTAGAACAAGGATTTATAAACGAGCCCTAAAAGCTCAAACAAGCTCAAGCACCTACTCGGCTCATTAGCAAACCTAATTCCAAAACAGCCAAAAACATCATCCCATTTTCCATGATAATATCTATTTAAGTGCATATAGTTTAGAGAAACATGAATTTGATTGACCCATATAGTAGAGGTTAGCACGTCATATGTTTAGATTTGAAATATATTAGAATTTTACCATTTTAAATGAGAATGTGTGCCTGCTGCAGTATCCAGTTCTCTCGAAATCCTTAAAAAATTTGAAAATTCAGTGAAACACCAGATATATACACCTTTCAGAACTCTCTAGAAGTACTAATATTTCACGCTGACATACTTTCAATAAATAACGGCACATAAAAGCAAAACCGATTGCCGTATATCCCAACATGTAATTGGCAATGAAGCAACAGCTGCATGAAATGTTTGTCGCAAAGTAGAAACATTCCTTCAGCACAACCCATGGTTGTGCATGATTTGCAACATGAACCTGAAAATTTCAAATGCCCTCAGTAATGTCCCATGAGCTCATATTCTTTAAATCAAGGACAAGCCTATAAGGTCAATAACCTGAAGAAAAAAATTTAAACAATAAGTATAAAATGCAAGTCCCGGTTGAATCAAAACGACAAGATAATTTACTGCTCAAAACAGTAAAAAGAACCCACCACCTAATACGTATCAATAAGAAAAATGAAAAGAACTAAAACTTAAAGCTAAGCTGGAAAAAAAAAAAAAGATTCAGACAGTTCTTAGCAGGTGCCTGATTGACTGGAGTTAAAGATTCACCCAAATTAAAAGACCAACTCAAATTTTGTTTTAGACCTTTGTAAGGCCAAAAACTAACTAGCTCGGCATCACCTGCACTTTATCTATTCTTGTGAGTCAAAAAAAGGGGGGCATTTACATACATACCACCCAAATCTTATATATTTACATATCTAACACCTAAACATTGATTTTTACATTTATACAATACAATCTATCTTTATCACATAAAAAATACCATTATTTTAACTTTTAAAAAGTGAAATACACATTTTCAAGCAAGGGTAAAGTGGCATTTATGTAAAAATTGAAGTTAACGTCTTAGATATGTAAATACATAAGAAATAAGTGGTATGCATGTAAATCTTTCAAAAACAAATTATAGTTGATTTGTCTCGGTGATCTAGTTCTTTCTATAAATCTAACAAAGCGGTTGCTAAGGTTGTGGTCGATTACTTAATGCTAGGATGCCAAAATAAGTTGGCTTGGCATCCTAAAATAGGGGTAGGAAGTATTTTGAAGTCATTTGCCGATACCGTTTAGCACAGGAATTGATTGATGCTAGAATTATTGTAACTTGTACTTAAGTTATGCTTTATAATCCCACTTTCAATTTTTAGAAAATTATAACTTGTATTTTGTATTTTGAATTCTTTTAAAAAGCTCAAGTTTCAGGAATTGTAATTTGTCATGATGAGAAGTTGAGAGTTTGACTGATAGGAGCCACCGAATTGAGGAAATTAGCTTCAATGTGATTATAGGAAAGTCAAAACCACTGGTTTGGGTGGTTCATTTCTCAATATTATACCATAAGAGTTCTAAACAATCAATGTCACAACCCATGATAAATTGTCATAGCATATAGTTACTGGTAGAGAAAAATGTCAAAATAGTCCCCCGACTCTTTGCATGGTGGCATTTTAATCACAAAGTCTATATATGTGCAGTTTAGCTCCCAGAATCTTTTAACATGAGCCAAAAATAATCCCTAAAGCGAATTATTTCGGCCTCAATTTAAAGATTAGGGGACTAATGTGACACTTTAATAAATTTTGAGACTAAAATGACCAATATAAATAGCAGGAGACTATTTTGACAATACTTCACTCATTATTGGCATAAGTATTGGCTTAAGGCCAAGGGTTGTTGCCTCAAATCATTTAAAGCTGATCAATACTTGCTATGGAAAAAAACTAGAAACAAAGACCATGAAGCCAAATAAAACCGCTCTATACATTCAAGTTGAGCATTTAACTACGTGTTATTCTCTTTTGCATAAAAATATTTTTCTTAGCAAAATAATAGGAATAACTAATTAGAAACCACAACTTAAAATAGATCAGGTCTACCATTCATTCATTCATTTTTAGTTTTAACAAAGTGTCATTCTCTTCTCATTAAAATATTTTCTTAGTGATGCAGGGCACCTTTGCCCCGAGACGCGGCAGAAGTCGCAAAATTACTAACACAGGGCGCCTTTGCCTCAGACGTGACAAATGTCATGATTTGCCCCGGACTGGTTATGTCCATGCAATTGATGGACAGTTCAATCCTTCCAAGTATGGTTTCCCTCCTATTTGGAGTGGGACCCACTCCTCTTTACCTCAGGTCTCTATATATGTTATTTCTTCGTGTTTAGATATTTTGGTGAGTTTTTTGTCAGGACAGCCGTCGAAGCCTCCAAGTCTTCCCTGGTACTCCTACAGTATCTCGTTCCAAGGTAGTGATTATCCTCGACTTTTCCATTTCCTGCAATCTTCCCTCCGCTACTGCCGTCACCGTAACTGTTGCAACCACGCTAAGAACTGCATCTTGTTGTCTCCTGCACCCTCATACCTCTCACCCGCACTTCATGCCATCCCCTTCCCATGCACATCCCTGCTGCAACTCCACCCCTGCCACCTACTCCCACCTACTCCAGCCATACCATTCATCCTCCAATCTCCAGGCCGCAACATACTATCTGCTCGCTGCCATTCTCCCGCCATCCCAACTGCAAGATACCTTCCTTCCCCTACAACCCACCACCAACGCCAATCCTCCTGCCACCAGCCACTTTAAGACTTGCTTCCTTTATCCAGCTCCTAAAAAAAACACCACCATTCTTGGCCCCACCCTATTTTGAGTTTATGTGTTATGTCTTTTGTTATTTCCTAGTTCTTTGTGTTTTGGTTGTATCCATATTTGATTTTGGTAATAAATGTTACATTTTATATTATTTTTGGTTAATTCCAGTATCAAAGCTAGTCTAAACCTAGTCTCATCCTAGTTTCAATATACCCTTGAAATTTTTCTTTTCCCTCCACCCTACACACCTTCCACCTACCTAACCCAAAATCCTAAACACGCCCCCGAGGAGACAATTATCGGAATCCGTCTAAGAATCTACCATGGATGTCATATAACGACTACTCCACCAAGTATACATCGGTCGATGCCATTCAGGAAATAACCCAAGTGGGATCATCGTAGACTATACAGTGAAATTCGTGTAGTACGAATGATTCCAGCAGAGAAGAAGGCAGACCTTATTTTTGGGTACAATATCAGTGGAAATACAAAGATGAGATTATTGTTAGAGGATACGGAGATGAGATGTCGGAGGATACAAAGATGAGATGTTTGTTAGAAGATACGGAGATAAAGTGTCCATTGAAAAATATAAAGACATGAGGATGAAGGTGAACTTATAAAACTTCGAGGGGAGAATGGATCCTGATTTTTTCTCGAGTGGATGCAGAATATTGAGCGGATCTTTGAATACAATGAGGTGTCCGATGATAGAAGAGTGAAGCTAGCCGCCATCAAGCTAAAGAAGAACACTTCTATGATGAACTGAAGAGAGAGAGACAAAGAGAAGGAAGAGACAAAATCACTTCTTTGAAGAAAATGAAACAGGAGATGCAACGAAAAAATCTGCCCCACATGTTCTTGAAGCTCCACTACCTAGTAAAGAAGTTATCAGTCGAGGAGTACACGACAAAATTTATGCATCTTAAGTTAAAGCGTGAGCCAAAGTAGATAGAGGGGCACACCATAGCCAGGTACTCGGGAGGCCTGAAGCCCACCATCAGTAATATGGTCCAGTTGCAACTCTATTGGACACTTAGTGACGTGATTATCTTAGGACTGAAAGTGGAGAGACAGCAGAAGCAAAGCATGAAAGCCCATTAGTCAGACAGACATCCACAATTGGAGACCTCGAGAAGAGCACAACTCAAAGAGTAGAGCGTACTGGTCAGAAACAGGACATAGCCACTTAGAGTGAGAGAAAGTCTGAGAGGAGTAGTGTGTCCACTATCGTCCCAATCCAAAAAATACTTCAAATGTCACTGGTTTGGACACATCGCTTCCAGTTGCCCGACGGGCCGAGTTATGTCCATCATTGAGCAAGGTAGAGTGGAGGGTTCTACAAACTGAGGATATGAGGAAGCAACATTGTGTTGCACCATGAAAGAAAATGTATGCATTCTCATCATTGATGAAGTGAATAGTAAAAATGTGGAGTTGACACAGATGGTGGAGAAATTGAGCCGCATGACTCAGAGGCATTCCTAATGGCATTCCCTAACGTAGTTGAAGGAGTACAGGATCAATATTGACATGAGATGTCTTGTGGAGTTTTCGATTGAAAATCAGCTACGAGATCAGCTTTGGTGTGGCGTGGTGGTCATGGAAGCTTGTCACGTTTTATTGGGGAGAATGTGGCGGTTTAAGCGTCGACCTCAACATGGCAAATTTACGAAAACCTACTCCTTAACCAAATATGGTAAGCGCATAATCCATTCACCTTTTGCAAAGTCTAAGATTACAAGAGGATAGTGGGACAGAGACACCGACTCCAAACACGGGGCAGTCACCACAGAGAGCTTTTCAGGACATCATGATCGATACCTTACCACCGTGAATGCCACCGTTAGAGAGAGTTCAATTTGTTCTCACTTCAGATCAGATTGAGCTAACATGGGGTTACTTTGGGATGATTCAACAATATATACGTGACATGCAAGACCAATTAAGTTCAGTAATATACCCTCAGAAGATTAGACCGATATGGATGGCTGCTAGCAAATGAGGAAAACTCCTTAGGTGTTTTTATAAACAATTCAGTTAAGAGTGGGATCCAAGTGCTTTCAGGGCTGTAATCAAACTCGGGAGGTCATAGCAACTCCATCACCTTTAACTAGGGTGTAAACGAACCGACCTTGAATGAGCCCAAAGCTTGTTTGTGTTCGAATCGTTTATTATTCGAGCTTAAAAAAATTATTTGTGTTCGACTTGTTTACTTAACGAACGATTCAAACACGAGCTGTTTAACAAATCAAACATGAGCTATTTGCGAACAATGAACTTTTTTGATAGCCCTATCATGAAATAGGATTGGGCGTAGGCATGTTTTTTTTTTTTCTTGTGGGCATTTAAAAACATATCAACTAATTCCTATCTATTTACATAGCAAACACCTAAATTTTACTTTTTGCATTTATGCCACCCGAATCTCTTATATGCATTTTTTTAAATATAGCATTAAAAATTAATAAAAAAATGATATACACAAATATTATTAGTTATTTATTTAATTATTCAAGCTAAAATAAGTCGAACACGAACGAACAAACAAACTTTTGTTTCTATTCGACTCATTTATAAAACGAGTGCAAAAAAATTGTTTGTGTTCAACTCGCTTAACAAATGAATCGAACACATACCGCTTAATGAACCGCACGCGAGCAGTTCGAGAACAAAGAGCTTTTTTAACAACCCTAATTTTAATGTGCTGACAGAAAATTTAACGAATAAGGTCAAAGCTATCCCAATTGCGGGAGACTAACGCAAGGTGTCTTTGCCCCAGATGCAGCAGATGTCGCGATATTACTGACACAACACATTTTTGCCCCAGACATAGCAGATGTCTGATATTGTCTTGGACTGGTTCGGTCCAAGCAAAGGAGGGACGACCAGTCATTCCAAGCATGAGTTTCCCTCTTCTTTGGATCGGGGCCCACTCCTCTTTACCCTAGGTATCTATATAAGTTATTTCTTCATGTTTAGGTCAGTTTTTGAATCAGCTCTTGTTTCTCTATTTAGCTAGGTGTGCATTTGCCTTCCATTAAACTCACCAGAGAGCTATTTTCCTGATATTTAGTTATGATTGGAAGTGGTTTGAAGAAACAATGTTATTATAGCATAAGACGAACACATGATTTAAATTTTCATAGGAATAGAACATTATGCACATAAAAGAAGAATGCAATTGATAATTGCCCAAAAAAGAAAAAAAAAAGAATGTTGATTTTACCGAAGTTATTTTTATTGTAAAAATTAAAACTTGGATTGTACAATTAAATGAATGATAGTAAAAAACTAAAATCCAAGGGATAAGAACTTTTTTAAAGAAATTATTCTTAAGATTCAAAGGTACAAGTTCAACACAAGTGACAATAACCCAAGTCCTATGAGCATATAAAATAATATATCTAAATCATTCCAAATTAAGGAATATTAAATATTGCTATAATTCTCAAAACTTGCAAGAAACAAGGCAAACATGGCTTTACTCTCATGAAAACAATTCAAAAAATATATAATTTCGAATTACATAAGTCATGTATTTTTAAATCAAGTTATATTACATCTAAGCGTCATGCTTTAATTGATGAGTGAGATAGGCAAGGTGGGGTGGAAGATTGCATAAAGTAAATGACCATTGTCACTTAGGCCCTTGTCAAATGAGTTTCGCAAAATTTTATTGAGATTTTGCACATAAGAACTCTAGAATTGTGATGTATATGATTGAAAATTAAGTAGTGATAAAATAAAACATATAATGAAGATTATATGAATGAACTTTTCTAGCCCTATGGTAGAGCAAAATTTGTTGATTTTAGTGATTCTCCCTTGATTCTCTATTTAGCCAGGTATGTATTTGTTTTTCCATAAAAATCACCTAAGAGCTACTTTCCTGATAACTAATTATCATTGGAAGTGTTTTATAGAAACAATATTCTTATCGCATAAGACTACAAATGACTTGAATTTTCATAGGAATGGAACATTACATAAAAGAAGAATTCAGTTGATAATCGCCAAAAAAGAAGCAATAAAAAAATGTTGATTTCATTGAAGTTATTTTTATTGTAAAAATTAAAACCCAGGTTATACTATCAAATGAATGATAGTGAAAAAAATAAAAGCCAACGTATAAGATTTTTTTAAAGGAATTATTCTAAAGACTCTAAACTACAAGTTCATCACAGCTCACAATAACCTAAGTCCTATGAGCACATAAGATAATATATGTAAATCATTCCAAAATAAGTAAAATTAAATATTGCTATAATTCTCAAAACTTGCCAGAAACATGGGCTTTACTCTCATGAAAACAATTCAAAAATAAGGATAAATTTCGAATAACATAAGTTATATGATTAGTGATGGTTTTGAATTACTTATTTCATCAGCAGGAAAAAAAATAAATTGAGCCATTAGATATTATATGCATTAATCACGGAGCCAAATTCATTTCTTTCCAAACATAGTTAAAATTCTATAGATGAGATAAATTAAGAATCCCGAAAAGATAAAGTATATGTAATTTTCAAAGGGCATTAATATTAGAAGAATGTTAAAAAAAAATCAACATGTATAATTTGCTAAAAAAATTAGCAAAAATACGCCCAACTTACCAATCATGGCATAAACAATCTTGGCTGCAAACTAATTAGTCTCTCCACAGTCTCATGAATAGACAATGTTTATGAATGTTTCAAGCCATTAATTACTTCTTTAATATTTAGTGCCGTGCTACAAAGTTGTTCTCCAATCTCGTAATGCCCACATAGAACCATAAATTTCGCCCTTCTCTCAAGAAGGGCTGCTCTCAAACGTGCAACATCTTGATAAACTAGTGGGTCAGGATATAATATTGAATTCTTGGAACCGCTGGCAAAGCAATATGATAAGGCTTCTTCACTATTCGCACCAGCAAGGATGAGATTCTCGACGGATTCAAGTAGTTTGGTAGAACGATGCAAAAGGTCTACGATGAGATCACACTGGGACAGCGATGCAAAGCTATGATCAGCCAATGGCAAAACAAACTGCCTGATAAATGGCAAAAGAATAGGGATGGATAGATTCGCAACTGTGGACATCGAGCTGAATTTGAATATTAAGAAACACGCCGCCCAAATATGATTCAAATGTACGGGCAAACATCCTTGAGTACTAATGGCTCTAACCATAGAAGAAGCAAATTTATCTCCTCCTCTTTTGTAAGCATAGATCCTAATTATATCATGAAAGGAAATAAAACCCTTCCTTGAACTGCGCCTTGCTAGATTAACTCCTATGAGCATACTCGATGCGGCTTCAGCTTTCAACAAATTAGTGCCTAAAGTCTTCTTCTCACTCATGAACATCTGGCAGCAATTTTTCAAAAAGAAGGCAGGAGTTCTCTCATTGGGAAGCTCTGCTGCGAAAGCTAACAAAGATATTGGAATTGGAGAAGAAGCAAACCAGCAACAAACCTGCGTCATTTTCTTAGCCAGCTTTCCATGCTTTTTCTGTTGATTTAGTACGAAAAATAGGAAGTCAAGGAGTTGAAGAAGAAATGGATTATGCGTAAATAAATCCTCTTTTTCACCACTCTGTTGCATTTCTCTCTGACTCTGACGCATTCTACTAATGAGTTCGAGAAGCTTCGGTGGATCAATAGAATAATCAGAAAGAATACCCCCAACAAGTGCAAGGCCGAGAGGTAATCTGCATAATCTCTCCCCAATAATTTTAAGAGCAACCTCATCAACAGATTTTAAGTCCTTTAAGTTGCTAGTCATTAAGGACAATGACTCAGCACTAGATAAGTTAGACAGTTTTAAAGGTTGAATGTTCATTACCATAGGCAGCTGAGTGGAGATAATAACGTGGCTCTCTCCATCGAAGCGAGGAAGTAGGTCCACTATATTTCTACCATCCCACCAATCTTTCTCATTCTCTAAATTGTCTATTACTAGTAGATAAGGGATTCCTCGCATAAGTTCTCTCCTGACTTTTTGAATAGCTTCACCTTCTGTTTCTTCAAAGTGCTTTGGATTGGCTCCATCTGAGTAAAACTCTCTATCAACAATGGTGGCATCAACTCCCAAAAGATTCATCAAGTTCATATAATTTATTCGAACATACTTCTCTTCTCCACTAATCCAGAGTACCATCTTGTACATTTGGGAATATCTATAAGCGAATTCAAGAAGCAGCTCTGTTTTGCCAGTGCCTGACTCACCTGAGATGCAAGCAATGCCCTTACCAAAAGCTAAATCACCATCTCCACACTTCCTTTCACGTTTTGCTGTTTCTTCTGTTGGCGGAAACCTGTCAAAATCCTCTGGATCATGCTCATATGCCATTACTATCTCTTCCTTGGACTCCTTCCACACCCTTTGCCCTTTCATCTTCTCCTTATTTTTCATTTGATGTAATTCATTGTTTCTCTTACTGCTCTTTTGAGGTAACATATTAATAAAATCATTATCACATTCCATCTGATCATCACCAAATAACGTAAGTTTTAGTTTAAGAAACTCTTTCTTTCTTCCAATGAAATTAAGATTTCTTGTGAATGGAAATTCTTCTGTTGCTACCCTATTCTTCCACTTCATCAACTTCTCCAAAGCATCACCCCTTCCCAATTTTTTCGCAATAAAAGAGATCGCATCCAAAACACAATCCCGCATATTACTCGTAGTAACTTCAAACTTAACATCAATTTGTGAGAGTCCATCCACCGCCACACTCCATTCTTCCTCTATCGCTTCATATTTCTTCCAGAGTGTACCCCCATACTTACCCCAAATTTCTCCTTTCTTTTCAATAATATCCCTGGACAAGCAATCTTTTTGCTTCAATCCAAAAAATATTGGAATCAATTTTTTTCTTCCCAATAAAAGTTTGAGCTCCTCAATGCTCCAAGGGCTAGAAAAAGACTTCCTTGTGACAATTACAACACCAAGGGCGGCCTCCTCCATTGCTGTCCTTGCAATGGCATGGGATCGAGCATCTGAACACCTCGTGAGGTATGACATGAAGAATGAAAAGCCATGCATCACCATCTCTGCACGTAACCAGTTCACAAACCGTTTTAATGAAGGTGTTTTTCGGTCACAGTATCCAATATAAACATCACAGCTCCTGAGCCTTTCAGTCTCTGAATCATTCCCCTCCAACCTTCTCTCACTGCTGGATGAGATATTAGTATTATAAATCATAGCACGGGTGCTTGAAACCTGTGTGACTGAACCTACCACTGGAATAGTTGTTGAGGAAAACAATGGTGGGTCAATAAATGATGGAGAAAGGTGATGAGAATTTGCAATTTTTGGTGGTGAGAGATTAGGCGGCAATGAGCAAGTACTGGCAGAAAGGAAGATGGAAGAGGAGGATCCGGAATTGGCAACAACATAAGGGGATGCCATGAAAGGATGAAATAAAGTAAAAAGAGATAAAGAGATTTTTCCCACTGTCTTGAAATTTTGATATAACTTGAAAAGGTTGGTCTTTTGTAAAGCAGATACGTGAATAAAACTTCAACAAGCTAGTAATCCCCTGCAATTACCCCAATAAGAATATGTTAAAATGAAGAAAATGAACAGCAAAATGGCTTTTTTAAGTATAGAAACAAGATAAAAAATAAATAAATAAATCATCATTAAGAAATTTGGCTATTGCTTCAAAAATTAATATAGGAATGGACCGTGCAATAATCATGAAAAATAAAAGTCCCGAATTTTTATGCAATTTGATTTTCTGTAAGCAAAAATAACATCTAAATAACAAAGCCTATCCTGATGACACAATTATATTTAAGAATGAAAAGAAGAATAAAATTACTATGCAATGATAGCACAATAGTGATTTCTATAAATAATTTAAGCATTTAACATTTCTTCTTCCGGGTGACTACATTATGTTACAGGACTAGGGCAGCCTTCACATCACATATAGCATCGAGTAAAATCATAATGTGAGGAAGTAAATGAGAACACAATGGCTCCCTCAAGTGTTGTTCATGCAAACAAAAGTTGAGGTTTTTTTTATTCAATCTCAAAGCAAACAAACAAAATCAATATCACCTTAATACGACCTAAAATCCTACATAAGCAAAGTGAAAGTTTTGTATGAAGAAGAAGGATGGAAAGCAAAAGTTTTGTATGAATTTTAGGGCTTTGAATAAGGAAAGTGTACATTACAACTTTCCTATTATGGTGATTGATGAGTGGTTAGATGAGCTTTTTAGAGTAATCATCTTCTCAAAGATTAATCTGAAGTTGGGACATCATCTGAACAAAATGAAGCCAACCGATGTGCATAAGATAGCTTTCAAGACTCATGAAAGATATGACGAGTTTTTAGTGATGGCATTTAATCATACCAAAGCTCCAGCCACACTTCAGTCTCTTACTAACAAGATTTTTCAGCCTTATCTCAAGAAGTCTGTCCTGATACTTTTTTTATGACATCTTGGTCTACAGTTGTACCGAGGTAGAGCATATGGGATACCTGAAGTCTGCACTTGAGTCTTTAAGAGAGCATCTTTTGCATGCAAACCTGAAGAAATGATCCTTTGCACAACCACAACTGGAGTATCTAGGGCATGTGATGACAAAATCAAGCATAACAACTAAGATTGAGGCTTTGTTGGATTAGCATTTGTCTAGGAGCTTGAAGGAGTTGAGAGTGTTCTTAGGTCTCACAGGGTACTACCAAAAATTTGTGAGAGGGTATAGCACATAGCATGGTCACTGACCAACCAGTTGAAGAAAGACAATTTCAAGTAAGGGGAAGCAGCGACACGAACCTTTAAACAACAGAAGGCCATAACCAGTGTGCTTGTATGAACATTTCTAGATTTCAGTAAGTTATTTGTGATACAGACGGATGCATCAAGATAAAGATTGGGGCAATACTCATACAGGACCAACAACTTATTTCTTGTTTCAGTCAAGTGTTAATTGTCAGGGTGAGACTTAAGTTCGTATATGAGCGAGAGTTCATGGCTATTATCTTGATCATTCAGAAGTGACATCTCAATCTGTTAAAAAGAGTTATAGTCAAGACAAATCAAAGAGACTTAAAGTATTTGTTGGAGTAGAGGACGGTTAATGAGAAGCATCAGAGGTGGCTATCCAAATTACTTGGATATGATTTTGAGATCCAGTATCGCCATGACTAGAGAATAAGGTTGTGGATGCACTATCGAGTAAAGAGGAGGAGCCCCAGCTAACAACTTTATTAGTACCCATGGTCTTCGATTTGGAAGCATTAACGCGGGAGAGCGAACAGAACGAGGGGCCAAGGAAGATCAGGGCAGAGCTGCTACAAGATACTAACAATCATTTAGGATAAGCATTGAGGAGACAACAACTACTCTGACAAGGACAATTCGTGCTACCGAGGGCATCGGAGTACACTTCCAAACTGTTGCAGGAGTTTCACGACAGCGCGATAAGGATGCATAAGACATACAGTTGACTGTCGGCAAAGCTATATTAAATAGCGATGCGTGGAAAAGTAGAGAACATGGTGGCAATGTGCGATGTGTGTCAATGACACAAGTATTTGATTATGGCACCAGCAGGGTTACTGCAACCTCTAGTTTTTATTTGAAAAGCTTTGGGAGGGGATGACGATGAATTTTATAGAATGGTTGCTAGGAACAGAAGGAACTATTGTGATATTGGTCGTAGTGGTCGCCTAAACAAATATGCACACTTTATTCCATTGTGATATTGTTTTACTCACAACTGTGTTCATATGAGAAGTGGTTCGTTTACATGGTGTTTCGAAATTCACTGTATCAGATAGGAACAAGATGTTCGTTCCTCAGCCATTTTAAAAGGCAATATTGATATTACAAGGGACAATCTTAAAGAAAAGTACGACATATTATTGCCTGACATATGACCAGTAGAGATGGTCAACGAGAGTGTGAAGATGTACCGGTGTTATTCTGTAATAGATATGTCGAAGCTTTGCGCAACGTGGATTGCTTAGGTTGAGTATTTGTACAACACTTCATGCCATACTGCAACACAAACTAATCACTCCAAGATTTTTAATAGTTGGATCCTCCTCAACTGATACACTATAGGCTTAGCACTACGCACATATCCAATGTTGACCAGTACTTGGAGGAGAGAGACATGATATTAACAGAGCTCAAAGGACATCTATTGAGAGACCAACAGATCATGAAAAGGAAGATTGATGGATATATGAGGGAGGTATTTGAGCTTGGGTGCATGGTTTATTTGAAGTTGAGACCTTGCCAATAGAAGACATGGTCAAGAGGAGCAAGAAGCTTTCCCCATGATAATTTGCACTCTATGAGATTGCAGCACTCAATGGGGCAATGACATGTCGTTTGATATTACCACCATTAACATCATTGCATATACTATTTCATGTATCACAATTGAATCGTGCTATCGGAGACCACCCACCCTCTTCTTCACCACCTCCGACGCTGACAAAGAACATGGAGGTGATTTTGGAACCTTTGGAGGAAGAAGGGGAGCGTATAAGAGTGACCGGGGCAAATGAGGTGTTGATTAAGTGTAAAGATATGTCTGATTATGAAGCAACTTGGGAGTCCTATAAAGTGATCCAAAAGCAGTTTCCATTATTCAACCTTGAGAACAAAATGCTTCTTTGGGAGGGGAGTATTGTTATGCGGGTCCCTTCTGGTCCGATCTGGACCAACCAGGCCCACATAGCGGGCGAAAACCCTAAGTTCAGCCTGAAAGAATTCTAGTTCTCTGGTGGGGCCCATTAAGCCCATAATCAAGTATGCAAGGAGTGGAATTAGGGGGGCTTTAGGGGGAAAGTTTGAATGTGTTTTAGAGATATTTTATTAGGGCTAATCACCTAGGATTTATTTTCACGTTTTGTATTCTTGTAGTTTTCTTTTGTCTTCTTATTCCTAACAGCGTCTCAGGTTTGTGGAGATTTGATCTACCTCTCGAATTGTATATCACTCATTGCCATCTTGTTTGTTTGTTTGTTTGTTTTGAGATTAATCAAATTAGCCCTTATTTGGGTTTTCCCATATATTTCTTTCAATTGGATCACTAATTTTGGCTCCAATTCGTATCATTTTCATCTTTTATTGCTCTTCTTTATTATAATCAAATTTTATCATTATTATTTTTTTAATAAACTAAAAGATAAAAAATTTATACATGTCCTCCTTAATCTGTTTTTGCATCTCTTAGCAAGCGACTAGCGTTAGTTACCTAAATGCAGGCAATCTAATATATGAGTTCATATTCAAGCAGCACAACATTTCTCATAAAAATAACGAGATAAAATCTGAACTGTGAGTTCATATTAGGTTTAGGTAAATCTTGGAATCTAGGTACATATGAGAATAAAAATTTAAATAGTCCTTATAATATTTCATTATGGTTGGACTTTTGACACAATAGATTTAGGTTATCTTTAATATAATTTAGGCAAAAATATGATATAATTATTTTATTGTTACTAAATTCAAACTAATATATATTGTAGTTTTGTAAAATATCAAGAATACTTCTGCACTTCTAAGAGAAGTTTTAAAAAAATAAATGAATAAAACATTAGTGCCCATTTTATATAAATTAAAACTCAATATATTATTTATATCTTAATATAAAATGTAAAAAAAAATCATCCCACTACATAAAATTGAGAATATAATTAAATTTCTTTCACGAATACAGCAAAATGTAATTGTTTTAAACATATTGATAGGAATAAATCCCAAAATAGTCCCCTGATTGTTTAAATATGGTCATTTTAATTGCAGGGTTTTCAAGTCCGCCGATTCGGACTTCTAACTATTGAAAGTTCAGCACAATTGCATTTTATGATCTAATGAGGTAAAAGATTTTCAATTAAATTATGTCAATCATTAGTGTAGCACAAGTAGGGCTGACAAAACAGTTCGTTGTTCGCGAACAGCTCGTATTCGACTCTTTAAGATGCTCGTGTTCGGCTCGTTAATTTCGTTCGATAAGTTAACGAGCCGAACACGATCAAAGATGTGTTTGTTCGTGTTCGGCTCGTTTTGGCTCAAAACACTACTCATCAAGTTTATATATATATATATATATATATATA